AGAGAGAGAGAGAGAGAGAGAGAGAGAGAGAGAGAGAGAGAGAGAGAAAACATTTTGGACTCACTCAGACTGACAGAATGCGACAGTCCCAAGTTTGATTAATTGCAGGCCTGGTGTTCTGGAGGGGAGGTCCCTCACATAAGTTGTCTGTCTAAATAACAGATCGCTGACGGGCTGTGTTTTCTCTCTTTTAAGTGATACACAGCCACTAGCTCTATGAGTTTGGTGCACACTTGTGGAACAGATGCTAAACTGAATGGGAAAACAGCAAAGGAAAACTCAAAGTCCCCTGGGCAGCGGCTGCAGGAACCTTTGATGCAGACCTAATGCTGGCGTGTGCACACAGGGCCTCCTGATTCAGAACAAGATAGTCTCCAGGAGTGCCCCGGGCTCCCTCACAGTGTGCCGCTGTTAGAATCTAAAGGGTTGGAGAAATAATTATAAGTCAGTGGCTCAGCCACTTCAGGACAGCCGCAACTTTTATTTTTGTACGTTCTTTTTTGGCAGAAGAGCGCCAACAGATGATATTTATAAGTTAACCCCTGAAACGCTAGAAAACAGCAATGCCAAGTCAATCTGTGACTCTTCTTGCTCAAGTCTTTTCTCTAGTTAATAAAAACACAGAAAAAAATAACAGTTTAGGAAAGGGTAAAATTCCGTGAGAGTTCTTCTAGCCTACTTGTCCTAAGGGCTGATGATTGGAGGTAAGAAGCACCAAGCAGTAGATAATAATGAGAATCACTCCATGAAATAGTAAAGTGTAGATACTGGAAGCTGGTGGTATTTCCTTACCCAAAACAAAGGACAGATACTTAAGTTTTGTTAGTTGTTTAGTATTTAAAAGCTAAACGTTCATTACTGCTTTCCTGTCATGGAGAGTGTTTAACAATTGGCACCATGGGAGTAGCTTTCAAAGAAACTTGGTCTTATATCTCCAAAGTTCCCAAGTCTATTTCTTACCATAAATTTTAGATGGTGGTTATATATTTTAAAGTAGTACTAGCAGCCAAGTGGCCATTTATTGAAAAAGTGACATAGGACACAGTGGTACTGCAGATCAGCGACTTTCTCAGATCTGGCTCTTGTAGCCTGACCCCTAAGGGAAGTCTCCAGTCTTGGTATCAGGTCCTCAGGCACAGCACATTCAGGCTTGCCCCAGATAATCTGGGGAAATAATGACATGCCTCAGGACACCAAGGATTTTCTAAGTCATCCCTGTAATAAATATGGAGGAGTTAAACCCAAAGAGCTGAAATGTGGACAGAAAAACACACCTTAAGTTTCAGGGCTTAGATTAATGCCATATCTGGAACTCTCTACTGCTTACTAGACAGACTGTCTTTCTCCTGCCTGAAGCTATAGCTTAGCTTTCGTTTCTACTTAGAAGATAAACCAAGCCGAAGGTTTAAAAGTGTTGCTACCATATAGAGGAGGCACGACAGTCAGTATAACAATGTGCCCTGTCCCCGTGGTTTAAAAATCAAATTCAGTATACACTTCCACAGTGTAAGGGGGCATATTCTTTCCACTTTGGATATCTGCTTCCTCCCTGGAATGTCTTTCTGTCTTCTTTATTGTTGCCCTTGGAGAAGCAAGTAATCACAAAGGGGGATATACCATTGTAAACACTGAGAGCTAGAGTATATGCCCAACCTATACTTCCTATGGGACATGCAGTTAGTCACTGAACCCAAGACAGCTCAATTCTACCTTCCTCCCAATTTTGCCATTACATTCCCAACATCTCAGAGTGACAGCAAGCCACAGTATGCCCCTTTCTAGGGTAAAATGGCTCATTAATTTTTCTGAAACATTTACTTCATTGGAAGTTAGGAAGGAACATAGCTCTCTATATTAAGATCATTCTCAAGTGTCTTTTAATAAAGTTTTATCACAGTTCTACATTGATCCATTAATTTAAAGTGAACACAGAAACTGTCCTTTTAATTACGTTTATCATTTTTCTAAGGTTTCTAATATAGTATTTGCTACATTATCAGCATTCTTAAAGTATTTCGGAAGGGGGGAGGAGATCTCTTTTTTCCATACCATTTTAACTGCTCTCACTAGTTATATTTCCTCCTTCAATGAAATTATCTAAGATTTAGATTACAGTTTCACCTTTATGCCTGCTCATCTTCTAATTTTAGATCAGTAATTACCTGTGTTGTAATTTTCAAATCCAGTTTCATAAAGTCAGAGTATGTATTTTGGCTTTATCACCTTTGTCATGAAAGTCCAACAGTGTCCTGGCTTCCAAATTAAATAATGCTTTTTGTTGTTGTTGTTGTTCCCTAATTTGTCCTGTTAGTTCTAGCAATAAACACATATACAGAGTTTGCTTACAGATGAATATTTCTTTTTCTCTGTCTTTGTGGAGACGTTTTACTCTGTGTCACTACTTGATGTTTAATTTAAGAGGGCACTAGGAGATAACGTTCATAATCCGCAAAAGAATATGCCACTAAATGCTGTAGCCGCTAAATCCTCTGACCGGAACCATGATGGTATAGGTAAATGTGGAATTGACTTGGAAGATGATCCAACAGAATTCATTAAGCTTTCAGAAATGAATTCACTTTTCTATTGCTCTTGTGATGCATTCGGGTATCTGCAAGTGAATACAATCCCCACAAAAATGAAGCGCATTTTAATCCTCTAGATTTAAAATAGAAGTGTAATTTAAAATCTTATTTACATATATCTAGAGATTTAATTTTAAATCTCTAGAATGCTTAGGTTATTGTTCTTAAGACTGTCATCAGAGTCAGCATTTTTGTACAGTAATAAGCAATTACACCAGAAGACAATGGAAGCAGTTACTGGAAAACCTCTTCTTGTGGAGACTGGTTTGTAGTCTCTGAAAGGTTTGCAAAGGGGAGACATTCTGCTGTTGTACATTGGAACCTTTCATGGTCCTAAGAACAGGAACAGCATTTTTTTTTTTACCATTGAGAGTAGCACACACCTATAACACTGGTGGTAATCAGAAGTCAGAAGGGTGAGGATCATGAGCTTGAGTCTCGACTCTGCTGAAGGAAGGAGAGAGGGAAGATGAGAGGGATGGTGGAGGGAAGGAAAGAAACAGGAAAGGAGGGAAGGAGGGAGGGAGAGAAAATAGCAGTTTTGGGGTGTTCCTTTTCCTTAAAAGTACAAATATCTGCTACAAAAACCCAGGAAAATTATTAATGAAAAGCAGAGAGACGACACTCACACAAATGAACCAAATCTTCATAAGAGCTACAGCAGAACACACCCTGCCCTTTAAGAACTGTGCAAGGACATCCAGTCCAGGCACCAGTGATTAGCTGTCAGTGGCCAGAAGGTCACTAATGTTGGAGATGCTTCTGCCCCTTGACTGAATAGTAAACCACGGTACTGAGCACCATGGGAAATAGGATGGGCACCGAGTATAAGACAAAGACCCAGATTCCTTTTCTGCTTGTCTCTCTCTAGCACAAGCGTTCTCAACCAGTGTTCCCGTGTCTGCACAGCGCTTCGCTTACACTAGTAAGAAGGCACATCTGCTCCATGCTGAAAATGTCACCAGAAGTTCCAGGGTGGGGCCCAGCATCCTCCGCTTTATCAGGCCCTCCAGATAATTCTGAAATCTGCGAAAGTTTAACTCTCTGGTTAAGGATCTCAATAGCCCTTCAGATCTGTTAAGGATCACCCAGAAACTACAGCAGTGCTAGGACATAGTGGTGTTGGTGTCTGAGTCCACCAGGCCCAGTGCAGAAATCCAGAAATCCAATTCAATGTAAAAGAAGTGACAGTAGCATGTGTATCAAAAATCATCCTACTTCTGCCCCTTCCTTATGTTATGTTATCCAACTGTGATGTGCAGAATTTCTTCTGGAAACTTAGCTATGTTGATGGGATGCACTGTGGGTTTTTTGTTTGCTTGTTGATTGGTTGGTTGGTTGGTTGATTTTGTTAACAATATTGCCTGGGCTCGGGAGCCAACTGAGACTTTCTGTCTTGTTTCAGTTCACTGCGAAGCCAGTGAGTGGAGTCCTTGGAGTCCATGCATGAAAAAAGGAAAAACGTGTGGCTTCAAAAGAGGGACTGAAACGCGGGTCCGGGATATACTACAGCATCCTTCAGCCAAGGGTAACCTGTGTCCCCCGACCAGTGAGACAAGAACGTGCATAGTACAAAGAAAGAAGTGCTCAAAGGGAGAGCGAGGTATGGACGCACTAACCAAACATTCTTTGAATTGTCCCAATTTGATCCCTATTTCACTTTATATCTCATGGAATACTTGGCTGTATTCCTCATGCCCGAAGCTTTAAGTGTGTAGAAAAACAATGTTGTGGCTCCAATTTACAGATTATTTACCTCATTAGATTTTTAGTATGGAATCTGATCTCAGAGCTTCATAGTGTGATAAATGAACCTCAGTTCAGGATGCCACTCTAAGTACATGGGCTGCTATAAGGTCTTGTGATCTGCCTTGTTAATGCCTGGGAACTTGGGGGAAATTTCATAAGCACAAGTTGAACATTATCTGACATTAATCCATAACAAAGGGACACCCCACCTCTCCACCGCCAACAAATTCCTTTCACTGTTGAGTATGTGCTAAAATGGTGCAAATGTTTCTAAGTTTCACATTTGAGGTAAAGGATGGAGAGCATTGGGGACCTTCTGTCTCCAAGTTTATATACGTCATATAAAAATTTGCGAAACCTGTTAGATCAATTATTACCTGTGTCAAAATTTGTCAAAACCCTGTAAGCACCAAGGAGAAATTCACCATTGAATATAGTGCACGAGTGAAAATAAACTTTGTTTAAAAGAACTGCAGTTGCTGACGCTCAAATTATCATTTCCCCATATTTCTCAATCATTCCCTCTGTAGCGCTGCCTACAAATATGCTGCATATCTTTAAATCATTATAGATAATCTTTCCAGTGAGCCTGCAAATGACAGTCTCATTTAGCTAATTGTTGTTTGACAGGAATTGGATGCCTCTTCTGATGAACTTCCTTAGCATATTTCAACCCTTCCTTCAGTAATTCATTCTTACATTTGTGGCCACATATTATGCTAATACCTAAAGATTCACAGCTACGTAGAATCCTAAGAGAGCTATGAAGTTCAATGCAGAGTGCAGTGGGGAGCCCAGGGGATTAAATAGATAATCATGAACAATGTCACATAGTAAAGGAGTTTCTTGGGAACAGAGAGGGGGACAGTGCAAACATGAACACTGTTTATAGAGAAAAGAATTTGGGTCACTTGAGTTTTGCGTAATACTTTTTATTTTCTCGATTATATTATTGTATTAATTACCCACCATGAGGACTCTACCATGGAGTCCTCGGTTACCGTTGCAACTCAGAACTTAGTGTAATAAAGTTCTTGAATATGTGTTATGTTACAGAGAACATCTAACTTTTGTAAATCTGTAAGAGATTTTGATTAAAACTGTTTCAGGAGTGGAAGTTGGCTAGTGAAAAAGGCCATTTTTGCATTTGTTACCAATTAATTTACAAATCTTAGATTTTAAAGTTGGCTTTGGAAGTCAACCAGCTGAGCACTCTCTTGGTATGTGCCCATCGCTGTAGAGTTACGTCCGTTTACTAAATGATCTTAAAATTTAATGAGCTACATGTGGCCTTTTGTCATAGTCTTTCTATAAAATCTACAGCATTAATAAGTATCTTGCATATTTTCCTTTAAATATAAAAATGAAGTAAAGTTTATTCCAGAGAGAAATTAAATTATATTATCATTTCTCTTTTATTTGAGAATATGCTCTTCTAATATACTTTTTCTTTCACTTGCCATAAACATTGATGTCATTTCTTTTTAAAAATTTTTTTATTATCATTATTTATTATAATTTATTCACTTTGTGTCCTGGCTGTATCTTCCTCCCTCATCTCTTCCTGGTCCCACCCTCCCTCCCTCTAATCCTCCTATGTGCCTCTCCTAGTCCACTGATAGGGAAGGTCCTCCTTCCCTACTATCTGGCCCTAGCCTATTAGGTCTCATCAGGACTTTCTGGATCCTCTTTCTCTGTGGCCTAGTAAGGCCATCCCTCTAGGGGGAGGTGATCAAACAGCAGGCCTGAGACTGCCCCTGTTCCCCTTACTAGGGAGCCCCCATGGAGACTGAGCCATCCATTGGCAAAATGACATCCTACAGACTGGGAAAAGATCTTCACCAATCCTACATCTGACAGAGGGTTAATATGCAGAATATATAAAGAGCTCAAGAAGTTAAACAACAACAAACCAAGTAATCCAATTAAAAAATGGGGTACAGAGCTAAACAGAGGATTTGCAACAGAGGAATATTGAATGGCAGAAAAACACTTAAAGAAATTATGTTACTTCTTAAAGGTAGCAACTAAAACCTGTATTATAAACCTGTAAAATTTTGTTTCTGAGCTTTGTTTCTCCCTTGTAAGGATACAGAAACATTTTACTCTTACAAGCAGAACTTCATGCAATTATAACAGAATAAATGTTTTATTATTTTTTTTCAAATTTGATAATCCACATACTAGAAGAAATTGTGGACCCCTTGTAATGGCATTCCTAGCCACATTCCAGTTTTTCTCACTCTTTCTTTGTCGTTCAATGTGCCTGTTCCATTTTTTAAGGTGGGGTGGGAATGTGAGGAGGGAATAAAACTATACTCTAATTCATTACTACCTTAACACTCTTAAAAATTTTTTAGTGTCTACTTATTGAATATCTTACATTAAGTAAGAAGTCAATCGGGCATGGTGGCACATACCTTTGAACCCAGCTTTTAGGGAGGCAGAAGCAGGTGGATCACTGAATTCAAGCCTAGCCTGGTTTACAAAGTGAGTCCAGGACAGCCACAGCTACACAGAAAAACCCTGTCTAAAAAAAAAATAATAATAATAACTAAAAACAAACAAACAGTAAGAAGTCAAGGAAACAAGCAGCTGTGACCTGCTTTCCTTCAACTATATAAGACATGGGAACATTACCCAGCTCCTCAGTTAGGCTTACATTCATATTTATGAAATAGATGTGGTACACCATGGAGTATTTTGAAATGTAAATGCTAAGAAGCATAAACACACTTGGCAAGGAAGGCAACCAGCAGGCTAAGTTGACTAGAAGACATGAGCTAATTTTCTGGATGAGCTGATCTTTTTTATCTTAAGAGAGTAGACATAAGAAACCTTCAGGCAGTTTAAAAGATAAGCACAGGAAAATGATAAGGACAAGATCCATCCACTAGCATATCTATTTAATTGCTTAATTGCTCTGATTTCAGAGCTCAGCGATGCATAAAATAGGAAGGGTCTCTTAATTGTCTAGGTTTCCCACTGAAGGATGAGTGAAGCAAATAGCCAGGCCTCTGTTATTAAATGTATCCTCCAATCTTGATTTGAACCTAATCTGCAGTCTGCCTGAGAGGGTAATGATGGACAGAGGTAGATCACTCCTATTTGGAACAGGTGCAGAACTTGCTTTCAGGACTTTTTTCCCCTGCTGGGTTCTAATTGCCAAAGGCAGAAGCTCTGGGAAAGAATGATAAGAATCCAGAAATGACTTTCCAAGAAGCATTCAAAAATCTTAAATAGAAAGAAATAGTGTCTAGATACTGAGTGGATTGTGTTTTGAAAGATAAAAAATGTTTTACCCACGTAATTTCCTGACTCTCATTTGTCTTGTGCTTCTAATACTGAAGGTAAATAAAGTTAATGAAGTCAATGTATTCATTTGTACTCACAATTTCTATCTTCACCAAATGTACCATTTATTTACAATGTGGGATTATCTTCCCTAATCTGTCATGTTCTTTTTTAATCAGGGTAATTCTTCAGAAACCAAATAGAGCCATTTTTCATTATCGGAGACAAACAGATGCATTTCTTAGTAACAGGATCTAAGATTGTGCCTTCTACCCATTTTCATCTCTTAAAAGGCCAGCTAACTCAAGACCTTCTCCTCGTAAGCACTTCAGGATATGATCTCTCTGGTTTTTGGTTGTTGCTGCGAGTAGACTAACCCCTTCAAAAGAGTCCGGAGAGGCTTAGAGTTATTTTGTTTCTGATGAAACATTCTTAACAGCTAATAATATATATATATATATGAATTTTAATAAAAATATCTGAGAATCTGGAGAGATAGATCAACATTTAAGAACATTTACTGCTTTGATAGACTATCAGAGTTGGATTCCCAGCGTCCACATTGGACTGATATACATAACTTCCTGTAAATCCAGTTCCAGAGGATCTAACACCCTCTTTTGGGCTCTGAGAACACCTGCACACATATGGAAACACATACACACACTCACAGGCACACTTTTTAAAAACATGTTTCAGTGTTCTATAGGCATTATTACAGAGAGTTAATTCCTTAACATAAATATATTCATTTCCTCTTAAGGAACCCACACATATTTCACCAAGTGATATTAGTAGGAAAGACTGCCAGAGTCCTGTGGCTATTTAGCTTTAGTTACAGTATCTCCTATTTTGCAACATTCTGTATTAGGCAGAATTAAGTTCAACAGTCTTTTGTTGAGATTATTTATACATCTTCATGGAATTAATTATAATAACTTAATATATGTTTAATGTATAATATTCAAATAAATATTATAAACACTTGCATATTTTTGAATGTTAATAATCTTTATGTGTTAGGAGTTTTATGCTCTTCTTTTACTTTTTGCACAAATATAGTGCAGGTTGTTTGAACCAATAGTTACTCTACTTTACAATAGAAAGCTGGAAACATCTCTTAATTTAGACAAATCTTCCTGAGGGCTCTCTGATGACCATATTTGTGGGTCTAAAACTAATTCGAGATCTTTTATTTGTACAAGGAATCAGATGGACACAACCAGCATTTGAAGAGAGATAGAAGAAAGTGAATGACAATTATTAGAGTTCTCTCCCTTTACACATTTTACAACTACGCTGTATGCTTACCACCACCAACTGCCAATTCTTCCTCCTCCTCCTCCACCACCTCTTCTTCTTCCTCCTTTTCTTCTTCTTTTTCTCCTCCTCTCCCCTTCTTTTTTTTTTTTATTTGAAACAAGGTCTCTCTTCATAGTCTTTAATAATCTGGATCTCACTATTTAGACGAGGTTGGCCTCAAACTGAGAGGTCCGCTCTGCCTTCCAAGTGCTGGTATCAAAAGCGTGGACTATCATTCCCAGCACTTACAAAACTTCT